GTGCCTATAGAAACCTGCTGGGGTCCTGGCTGGACCTCTTCCTGCAGATCTGGATGAGTCACCGACTCTGTAAAGAGCCTCTGAGACCAACAGTGCCCCTGTGGTCCTCAGGATGTGTCTGACTCCCTGAGCTGGCCCTCTGGTCTGAACACAACCCACAATCTTGTTACTCAGATTACCTCTTATTAAGAGGAAAAAAAGATTGTTCTTGGTCCAGAGTACCTACTGGCAGCCATTAGTTCTACAAAGTAAATACCTCAAAAGTCGCAACAGAGCGAACCACCCTGTCTCATTAGCCACTGATGCTACTGCCCCCAGGGCCTGGGCTGGGACAGTTTTCCAGGGGTCAGAAGGAGATGGTTCCCTTCCTCTCCTTACCTGGGCCGCTTTGAACTATGGGGCATGCGGGGAGTGGGTGCAACCAGGGATAGTCATCTTTTTCTACTGCCAGGACTCAGGTCTGTGTAGATGGAGCAGTGGAGGCTAAAGGGACTCTCTGAGCTTGCCCTCTGGCAGGGAGGTTATGGCCAGTTCTTCTAGGGCTCATCCAGGTCAGACAGAAGCAGTGCTTGGCTGGAATAGAAGGTGTGTCTTTGCGGAAACTTGTTGGGTAACACATGAGGAAGGGCACGTGCCATAGGTCTGCATCCTCGGGTCCTGCTGGGCTTGGGTTTCTGAGCTGGGGCTGGAACATGCTGTCTCTCCTGGCCCCCCTGCAGTTAAGGGCCTGAAGTCCACCCTTGGGTCCTGACTCCCACACAAGGGTTACTTGCTGTGGGGCCGGGGGAGGATGAAGGCGGTGCAGTCTGGTTTCCATTACATATTGATCCCTCCTCAAAACACACCTCCTCTCCTGCAATCCCTTCTTCTCCTCTTCCAGAATCTGGTGGGTGAGAAACCAGTTTAACCACAAAGATCTCACTGAGCCGCCGCTTGGCACTGGAAACTTCGTCTCAGGTTTAGTTTATGTAAACAAGATGGTCACCAAGATGCGATGCTATTTTTAAAATGAAGAAAAAAAAGAGGGGGAAAAAGTGCCGGGTACTTGTGCTAAGTGGGCAGGGCTTTATCTAATCTGAAATGAAATGAATAAATGAATACCTAAGACCAACAGTCACTTAGCAAACCTCTGTCCAAGTCACAGTGGCCAAAGATAGACATGAAACTGAACCTCAGTCTGTTTTTAGGAAATGGTCATTTTAGGGCAATAACAGTCTAATACAGGGCCTCAGATGATAGCCCCCTGCTCAAATGAAGCTGGACTCCTTATTATTTCTTTTTTTGTGACGTTTCATTGCAACACAACCACATCCATTTGTTTGCGAATTATTGAAGGCTACTTTCCTACTAAGATGGCAGAGTTGTATGGTTGCAGCAGCAAAATGACAGCAAGAACAGTATGAAAATATATACTATCTGGCTTTTTTAAAAGGCAGATATAGCAGATCAAAGATTATAAACCTTGAAATCTTTTTCTTTTCTTTCTTTCTTTCTTTTTTTTAAGCTGGGGATTGAACCCCAGGCCTCATGTATGCCAAGCAAGTGACTTACCCCTGAGCTACATCCCCAGACCTAAAATGTACCATTTGAAGCAACCTCCCTAACCTCAGTGAGTAGGATTCTGAAGGAGGCAGAAGTGGGTACACAGCAGGCAGAGAGGAGCTGATCGGATTCTACCATTGGCTTCTTCCTGTACATGGCACATCTGGCTTAGCTATGTTTTTTAAAAATAAATAACTGTCCAACTTTAATTGAGCATCCCCTGTGGGCCAGGCACTCTTCCATACGTAACGGAGATGACAGTGGGCAAAGAACCCATTGCCCAGTTGAATATTCATCTTCTCTTAACCTGGATCTTCTAAGCAAGTGTTAAATATATACTTTGTCTGAAAAGGGCAATACGGGGGTGGGGGGGACACACAGAGTGGACGATAGTGATGGGAAGTGGGAAGGTGTGGCTGATGAGGCCACCAGGGACCTGTAGGGATGGGGGCATTGGCCAAGCAGATGAACAGAAAGGGCCTCAGTGGGACAGGTCTCAACAAGGGTCAGTGTTGGGAAGGAGCTGGCAGAGCCACAGGGCAAGGGCTTGAAGCAAGAGATCTTGTGGGGCTTGAAGAACCAAAGAACTTGAAATAAAGCCACTTGTGGCATCTTCAGTGGTCCCCATGTTGAGTGAAGCCCTACCTTTTAAACTCCTTGCCCCCACGTGTCTATTGGTTTGTCTTTAGAGAGTACTGCTGCAGACAGGGAGGTGCTGAGGGGCAGGGTGTGGTGTTTCCACAGCTTCCTCCATGTGAAAGCCTGGCTCACGGCAACCCTAGGTCATTATCAATGAGGCAGAAGCCAGCAGCAAAGTGACAGCGAGAACAGTATGCATTTGGCATCAACTTCCACTTGACTTGGGAAGAGTGTAACGGTCACATTTCTGGTTCCCTAATGACATTTTCTTCTTGAGTAAATAACCAGGAGCCACTGAGTAAAGTGCACCATTCAAGCCTCACCTGCACGAAACAGTGGCCCATGAACACGCGTGAGCTAGAGGGGACCAAGCCCGGAGGCGCCAGGAGCTCTAGGTGCTCACTGGCCTCCCACAGGTCATCTTGCTTGGACAGAAGAAAGAAGTTTATCACACACGGACCCTGAACACCTGTGTGCATTGAAAAGTGGTGTCATAGGTCGCAGGTAGAAATCCCCCATCACTTTGATGGAACATTTTGCCAAGATTTCTTCAGGGAGTTGCTTCAGCACATCATTGTAATGACTTGGGTAGCTGAGGGCTGGGGCTGGGAGGCCAAGTTCATGTACAGAAGATGGACATTCTACTGAGCTGCCCAAGACCTCTGCGCTCACCAGCAGACTGGAGGTGTCTGGCAGACCACATCCCAAAGACGTGGGCTCACCCTGCCCACTGGTGGTTTGAACTCGGAAACCCCAACCTTTGCTGAGACTTCTGGAACAAAGCCACACAGCACATGGGAAGGTGACCAGGGTGCTTTGCACTTGGGGAAACTGCAAACCTGAAAACTCTCAGCAAGAAAAACATGTCTTACCAAAGTGCAAACCAGACCCTTGGCATCCACTCTCTGTGACGCAGGGCTCCCCGGCTGGCAGGAAACCACAGTAAAGAACTGATTATGCTGCGAGAACACATTCCACGGGCCGTCCAAGGCTATTTTTATTTTACAATAAGGTACAATATGTTCCATGATGTTCTCTATCCTGACATATTTTTTTTTCTGGTATCTACATACTCATTAATTTTGGTAAATCACAGAGAATCTGCAAATAATTTAAACAGATGCACCAGATTGGAGAGCGTTGATTAATTTCAACAGCAACAATAATACACATGTGTAATTTTTATTGCAATCAGAACACCCATGGCTGCTACCCTAGGTTGACTATGAAGGCTGCTTATGGAGAGGTCATTGCAAGAAACTGAGTCTCAGGAAAACAGAGTTTTACAGACCAAATACCAGAGTATGATGTTCACTAGCAAAATAAATGTATTTTTAAATCTCTCTCTTTTTAAAAAACTTTGTAAAGAGAATTCTATCTTAAAAGTAGTGTTTGGTCAAGTGTTACTTGGTCAAAATGACTAAATCTACCTCATAGAGTGTTCCAGGAACCTTACCCATAAGAAAATAAATGCTTCTGTTTTAACTTAGACTCCATAAAATTTAAAATTGTTTTGGAAGAAGGAATGGCTTCCCTGTAACATGATGGATATTCAACAGCTCAGATGGATTTCGCGGGCAGCATCCATCCACCTTGAAAAGGAAAACAGAAAACAGGGGTAAGATGACTCCTGAGGCCCAGATCATGCGCTCTTACCCAAGTTCAAGAAAAACTTCCTTGCTAATGCTTAACTTGTTATCACGACCCCTTTTGATTTTCCAGAACTTCCTAGCTACTTTTTAACCATTTCCAATCAGAAAAATGTGACAGATGGCATTCAAAGCCAGCCACGAGGTCTCCAAGCCCTCGACTTGATGAACTTGGCAAATTCCTCCTTGTTTTTATCCTTTGCAGACTTTGAAAAGTCTAGAGGTCAAAAGGGGTTTAGCCATCTGCAACGTCACGCCACGGTCAAAGTCTACGTTTCTGGATGGTCATTTCAAAAGAAGAAAATAAGAGATGGGAAATCGGTCATCAGTGTAACAAACAGGCAGGTCCTGCGAGAAACAGAGGTGGCGGGGGCAGGCAGACAGGACCCACACTCCCAGGTTAAAAAAAAAAAAAGTCACATTATCAATGAAAAGGAGAAGGAGTAGGCTGTGCACCCCAAACGACAAGACCTTTAAGGAACCCTAGTCAAAATATTTCTCATTTATGCAAATTTACACCTCATAAGAAAACATAAATAAACCATGATTCTTGTCCTAATTTTTTAACATCAACTTTGCTGACAAGATCAGGAAACCCTGGCCAAACATCTGCATCAAATGATAAATTCACAGCAAAAATGTCCTTTTTCCACTGCAGGGCAGTCGCAGCACGCAGATGGCAGGATCGCCCTCTGTTTTTACTTGGCGCAGGGGAGAGGGTCCAAGCCGACGTCCCCACTGAAGTGGTAGCACGTTCTTTGTACCCAGATTTTTTTTTAAGATAAGGCCGGAGCCTGGGCCTTTCTCAGTCTTCAGCGTGCCCCTGGGTCTGCAGCAATCTCACACCTCTAGATGGTACCTTGTTCGTTTTTTAACTATTATTTTTATTTAGCTTTTATAGAGTACCAAAAATGTGGTTGAAGTTAGTACCTTTCCCTCCTTTCCAGCTACAATGGAAAGTTTTGTTTAAGCTCTCCAGAAAAAAAAAAAAAAAAGAGGGTGGGGGGAATAATGGGGGAAAGTAAATCCAAATCCTAGAAGAGGCTTTCAGGCTCCTGTTTTCAGGTTCTGTGCCACGGAGTCCTCTGGGCTGCTAGCGGGTGCTCCTCCGGGAGCCAGGATGCCTTCGTGGAGGGCCCTCGTTATAGGATTTGTGTCCTTTCTGGCTAGGCGGCTTTGTGACCTTGGACTGGTCACACAACAGCATCCTGGGAACTGAGCGATGATTGCAGACATCAAAGTTGTGATATCAATGTCCAAAGAAGTCTCTGGGTGAGTCCCTAGAGGTAAGTGTGGATAAGTCCCCAGATCCACTGGCTCCCCAAATACTACAAACACGAACAGCTGGCTCCAAAGGCTCCTCCTGCAGCTCCGGGAAGACAAGTCCTCCTCCCGCCTCTGGGAGTGAGCTGATGACCAGCTTCCATGGCCCAGGGGAAGAGGCTCATCTCTGCAGATGGACTTGGCCCAGAAACCGCAGGCCTTTATGGCCACCTTTGCCCATCCACTGGCATGCCTTTGACTTATAGATCTTCCCAAGTGGCTTGGTTCCCCACTGCAGGACCATTTGTAAGCAGAGAGTTACATCCTCCTGAGTAAGAGAAAGGGGAAAGACCCAGAGAGTGGAGGCCGCTTCCCTGTGTCCTCTTTCCACAGCAGGCCCTGGGCAGAGTGTTCTGGAAAACACTTTATCACGTCGTTCTCACTTCTTTTTTCCCTCCTCTCTTTTCCTTTCACTGGGGAAAGTTTCTCCCCCTATGAAGAGTCTTTCAGGGGTTCCTCCTGGGGTTTAAAACATGATAGTCTCCAGCCTGGAAGTCAGAATTGGCTGTTTCTTTTTATAATTGTGCACTCCTTCCGTCTCTCCAGCTAACAAAAGGATGCACCGTGTGATCGGGCTTTAGGGTGCCTGTGTGGCATGCTTGCCTTTGCCACCGGATAGATGCTCCAGGTCCTGCTGTGGCCCGAGGGCATCTCTCAGGTCCTTCCTCATTGCTTTGGAAAGGGCCATGAGACGGTGGCCCCCAGGACCTGGCCATGGGTGGAAAATGGGCCTGGATCCCTACATCTCCTAAGGAACCAGGACCCAGCAAGGCCGTGCTGTTGGGTGGGTGAGGCTGCTGCTGCTGCTGCCTGCTCAGCCAGCCTCATCCTCAACTCTTTCTGTGCCAACAGTCCTCCCTCGGGGCAGTGCAGGCCTTGAGGTTCAAGCAGAACAGCATGGAGATGAGATGGTGTAAGAGAGTCGACAGTTTCCAAGCCCACCACTCTGCCTTCTGCTTTTGCCCAACATCCAGAGAACTGGTGAGAAGGCCAGGTGCTCCCTCCATTGGAACTGAAGGCACGTTGGGCCCCAGCAGGCCCTGCCCAGGTGCGGGAGCCCTCTCTCTGCCTCATCTCCATCTGCAGTGAATCCCAGGCAGCCACTTGACCCTATCATCAAGCTATTTTCAAACCGTCTCCGAGTCTGCCCTGCCCTCTCTCGAAACCCTCTCCGCGTGAGTAATCGCTTCCTACTCCTGGTGGACACATGTGGTGCATCAGCCACAACAGGTGAACCCAGCTTTGGCTGAGGGCTTGTCCTGCCTCTGTGGTTCTGTCTTGGACATGACCCGTTTGCCCATCGTCCTTTCCCTTCTTCCTGCCAGTGATGGACTGACCAGCCTCTTCACAAGGAGCAAGAGCTGGTGCTACCGGTGACCGAGCAGAAGGTCAAGAGGAGCCTGGGGCCTGATGTCCTGGTGAGTTACCCTCCCCTGCCCAGACTGCCTGATTCTGGGCCTCTCCAGCCATGGCAGACAAGCTGATTTTGTTCAGCCACCTGTCCTGAAGATAGTTCCAAACACAGGCTTTACAACTCAATCATTTCATGACCTTAGGAGTAAAAATGGGTATTTTTCCTGGAACAGTGAAGAGGAGAAAAGCACATTTCTCCCCCACCTAGGACTAAGCCATCCCCTGTGGAAGGAAGGACCTTGTAGCTAAGGACAGTCACTGGAAATCACTTTTGAGGAAGCATGGCTGCATAAACTGACAGGGATCCTTCCTCATGGGTTGGAAATGGTCTGAAAATATGCGTCCTAGTCAGCTTTCTTTCACTATCATGAAATACCTGAGATGGTCAACTTACACGGAGGAAAGCGCCACAGTTTTGGGGGCTTCTGGTCCAAGGTCTGGCAGACCCGTGGCAGTGGACCTCCAGTGGTTATGCTGAGTGGCCATGAAGTGAATGAACAGTGAGGGACAGAATGCTGCAGTTTGTATGTTTAATGTCCCCAAAGGTTCATGTGTTAAAGTCCTGGTCCCCCAGGTACTGCTATTGAGAGGTGGTAAACCTTCAGGAGGTGGAGCCTAAGGGGAGGTCCCTGGGTCATTGCAGGGACATCCTTGAAGGAGGCTGTGGGACCCTGGCCCCTTCCTCTATCTCTTTGTGCTCCTTGGCTGATGAGGTGAGTGGTTTTGCTCTGCCACGTGCCACCACCATGATGTGCTCTGCTTGAGCACAGGGAAGGTGATCGGGCAACACAGCTAACCTGCCTGATAGGTAGCGCCTCTACCTGGATGGCTCAGTCATGAGTCACAGAACCCCTCTCTGTTGCCAGCTGTGCATCTGTTTACATTCTTAGACTTGTCAAACTTAAGATGCTGAACAAATCCTAAAATTAGGAAATATAAAACACTATAAAAGGCATTTGCTCATTATTTCCAAATACCATGTCTTTATGCATAAACCCATATTTTTTTGAGAGATTTATGTAGGCAAAAGCAACTCTCTAGTCATACCACTGGCAGGATTCCAGTTGGTTCCCCCTAACCATGGGATAGCTGACATTGGAAAAGTTGTGATAGTTTCAATGCATCTTTGCCCTTCCAGAAAGTGACCCCAGATGTAAAATTGTCATTAAGGACTTGGACTTAGTCCTGGGTGACTCTTTGAACAGATAACAACGTCATGAAGTCACTTAACTATCAGTATTAAATCTTGCTAGAAACGAAGTTGTTTCTTTTTGATCTACCAGGAACTCAGGGTAATTATTTTACCACACTATATACACATTTTTATTAATAATTTAATCTGTGCCTTATAATTTATAAAAATGTAGTATCTTTGTCAATGACAGACACAGGAGGTAGCAGAGAGAAAAGCCATTGTGGAGTAAGGAGATGATACCAGATTGTGGCCTAATTATACAAGGGAATTAGAAAGGATAAATGAGAAAATTAACACAATAAGTTCTATAAATATGCATTATCTCTCTGCTTCCTTAAAAGACATAAAACTATATAAACTTTATATATAACAATATATTATTAGGTTAGGTTTGTAGCATATTTAAAAACAATGTATACCATAATATAAAAGGGAAGCTGAAAATATGCAGGAAACATGTTTCTATATTTCACTGGTATTAATATAAATCTAAAGTCAATTCTGACAAATTAAGATACATTCTGAAGGCCTACAGCAATCACTAAGAATGAGAATATTTATTAAAAATCACTAAAGGGATTAATATCACACTAAACATATGCATTTAATACAATCCAAAAATAAAGGAGGGGCACAGGAACAGAATGTGACATGCAACAGAGCAGGTAAAATGGGAGACACAGATGCAAACAAATCAATAATAACATTAGACACAAGTGGCTTAAGAGTAAAATAAAAAGGCTGAAACTATCAGATCTGGTTTAAAAAGACCCAAGAAGATCCAAGTATTTTCTGTCCACAAAAAGGCAAAATGTAGATTCAGAAGTAGAAATAGGACAAAAGTCAAAGGATGAAGATGTTAATCACAAGGGAACTGGAGTGGGTATGCAAATACCAGCAAAGTAGCCTTTAAAACAAAAAAACATTATTGGAGAAAAAGAGCCCATGTAATAATGAGAAAAGGGTCTATCTATGAGAAAAACATAGCAATTATCTATACACTTAACAAGAATGTCCCAAAATACATAAAGTAAAACTTGAAAGAATTAAAGAAAGAAATAGACAATTCAATAACAGTAGTGAGAACTTAAAACTTCACTTTCAATAATGTATACAACAACTAAGAAGAAAACTAAACAAGATATAAGATTTAAACAACAGAACAACAAATTACAACTAACAAACATCTATAGACCACCTCACTGGACAATAACAAACATACTTTTTTTTTTTTAACCAGGGACACATTTTTCAGGATAGTCCATATGTTAAGCAAGGAAACAAGCCTAAGTAAAATTTAAACAGTCTGAAGTCATGCAAAGTATGTTCTATGAACACAATGGGTGAAATTAGAAATCAATAATAGAATAAAATGGTAAAAATTCACAAATATGTAGAAAGGAAACTTCTTCTTTTTTTTTAAAGAGAGAGAGAGAGAGAGAGAGAGAGAGAGAGAGAGAGAGAATTTTAATATTTATTGTTTTAGTTTTCGGCGGACACAACATCTTTGTTTGTATGTGGTGCTGAGGATCAAACCCGGGCCACACGCATGCCAGGCGAACGCGCTACCGCTTGAGCCACATCCCCAGCCCAAAAGGAAACTTCTTAAATCATCAACAGGTGAAACAAGAAATCACAAAGGAAATTAGTAAATCCTTTGAGATGCATTAAAATAAAAATACAACATGCTGAAATACGGTATGCAGATAAAGCAGTGCGTAGAGGAAAATACATAGCCATAAATACCTGCATTAAAAAGATTTCAAGGGCTGGGGTTGTGGCTCAGTAGTAAAGTGCTTGCCTCGCATGTGTGAGGCACTGGGTTCGATTCTCAGCACCACATATAAATTAATAAATAAATAAAGGTCCATCAACAACTAAAAAAAAAAAAAAAACCTGGGCTACCTTTAAAAAAAAAAAAGATTTCAAATCCACAACCCAAACTCTACCCTAAGACACTGGAAAAATAAATGTCAGCATAAGGAAGTAAGAAAAAAATTAGAGCACTAATTAATGAAGCAGAAATTAGAAAAGCATATAAAAAAATCACTAAAAACAAAATTGACCAAATTTTAGCTCAACAGACTAAGCAAATAAGAGAGAAGACTCAAATTATTCAAACCAAGAATTAAAGAGGGAACATCACTACTAACCTTACAGAAATAAAAAGTACTATACGAAAATAGTATGAAAGGATAAGGTCATTGATGAAATGGATAAATTCCTAGCTATAACTGACTCAAGAAGAAAGAGAAAATTAAAAATTTGAGTAAACCTCTAGCAAGTAGAATGATTGGATTACTAGCTAAAAACTACCCCCAAAAGATCTCAGGCCCAGATGGCTTCACTAGTACAGTCTACTGATTACTTACAGAAGAATTATTAGCAATCTGTAAATTATTCTTTGAAAAAATATATGTATGTTCCAAATGGGAAAAATACACTAGAGATAGAAAGAAGATTGGTGGCTGCCCAGGGCAGGAGGGGTGGGCAGCCAGGGGCAAGACAGGAGCAGAATGGCTCAGAGGTATCAGGTTTCTTTTTGAGGTGATGGAAATGTAAAATTGATTGTGGTGATGGCACAACTCTGTGAACAAACCAAAACCCACTGAATCCCACACTTCCAAGGTGCAACTTGTCTGGCAAGTAAATTGTACATCCAATGAAGGTGTTAAAAATCTAATTTCTCAATGGGCACCGGAGGCTGAGACAGGAGGATTGGGAGTTCAAAGCCAGCCTCAGCAATGGTAAGACACTAAGCAACTCAGTGAGATTGTGTCTCTAAATAAAATACAAAATAGGGCTGGGGATGTGGCTCAGTGGTCGAGTGCCTCTGGGTTCAATCCCTTGTATCAGAAAAAAAAAAATTCCAATTTCTCTAGATTATTCATGTTGTGTGTGTTGTGGTACACTGGTATTTTTAGAAAAATAATTTACTAGAGCAGCATTTATCCATATTGTCACATTGATATTTTGGGCCCTAGTCCTTGCTTATTGAGGAAGATGGGAGCTGTCCCACAGGTTTCAGGAGTTCAGGGGCATTCTGGCCCTCTGCCCACTGGATTCCAGAAGCATGTCCCCAGAGGCTGACAGGCTTCACTGGAGAACCACTGTCTGCAGCCTTTAACTGCAGGGAGGGGACGGGATCTGAAGCCTTCGGCTCTCACTAATTCTCTGTAGTTGTAGAAGTTAAACATTCTCCCCTTTTTCTCACAACAGGCTGAAGAATGGATTACTGCTATTACAGTCAGCTGGTGTCCTAGAGATCAAGGGACCCCCGTTAGGAAAACAGTTGAGATGTAATCCTTCCTCTGCACAAGTTGGGACCTCATCTAACTCCCCATTATTACCATCATCCCTGGTAAATGTCCAACAAAGTACACCTGGACCTCAATTTCCTCAAGCAACACATTCATGGATTTAACCAACCATGAATGAAACTGTTTTTTTTTAAAATGCATGTGTACTAAACATGTACAGATGATTTTCTTGTCACTATTCCCTAGACAATACAGTATGACAACTATTTATACAGCACTTATATCATATCAGATATTAGATACAATCTAGCCTTGATTTTGAAGGACACTGTGGAATGTGCCTAAGTTGTGTGCAAATATTGTGCCATTTTATGTAAGGACTTGAGCATTTGCAGAATTTGTATCCATTGGTGGTGGGGGAGCACGGGGGCCTGGGGGCTGGGACCAGGAGGCCAAGGGACAAATAGATTAGATTAGATCCCCACACATTCAGTACAATGATCCTAAATAGAAAGTGTTTGGAGAAATAAAAATGCTTTCTCTGTTGCCAATGTGGACTTGGTAATAATAGAATGAATATCATTGATACTTACACACAGAAAGAAAAACCCAAATAAGATTTCATAGAAATTCAAGAACAATGTTTGATGGGAATTTCGTTGTTTTTGGTTTCTTAGCCATTAGAGTTTTAATTTGTATTGAAGAAGCTCAACAAAAACTCCATCAATTTGAAGATGCAAACGTTGATTGGCAAGGAAAGCCAGAGGGCACGTGCCTCATGCCACCGCGGTCCAGCACACAGGTGGGAAAAAAAGGGACAGGTGGGGAAAACGAGGCACAGAGAACCCAGGAGGAGCCCAAAGCAGAATCGCAAATCCTGGAATGCGGCAGAAAGATGGGCAGATGGGACTCCACGGTGTTGGGTCAGACAGTGGTGAAGGAAATGGACCACCTTCTTTCACAAAGGTCTGCAGCAATGGGACAAGGGAAAGCAAGGAGAACACAGGCCCACGTCAAGGAGAAGTGCCCGGGTTTACCCAGCCTGAGCCGCAGACTCCGTCCTGGGCCTGGGCAGCGCTCACCGTGATGCCCTCTCTCCATATCAAGACAGTGGGATCCACAGGGAAAGTCCTTCCACAGCCCTGACTGAGCTCCCAGGCTGCAGGCATGTCCAGCAGAGCCCTGGGGACGCTGTCTGAAGGTCAGGTGGGGGCAGCGGCTCGGGGTCTGCAGCCTGCCTCTCCAGGGCCAGCAGTTTCCAGCTCAGTGTCCCTCTGCTTCCTGGCCTTGCGCCAGGCTTAGTTTTCTCTGTCAACCCATCCCACTCTGAGGCCTGATGTCAGAGTCGTCCCACCCTGAGCCAAATCCTTCCCATCACCCCTCTTTCCTTTTCTGATGACGGTCCAACATGGGAGCATTCCAACCGGCGGTTCTGACCTGTCCCTCCGTGGCTGGGTGTCCAGTGGGATCTCGGGTGAGCAGCTACGTTTGTCCAAGTCAAGGCATCGAGACTGGGTTTGAAAGATTGCTCTTCTCCACGACTTCCTTGCCTCACAGGGGACTTGTGCCATCCTTGGTGTGTACAGGGACGGCACCAGCTGTTTTAACATGGCCCACAACATTGGGAGACATGAAGGTGGGGCTCTCACTCTCTCAAAGTGGGGGCTGCTGGCTCAGGGGCCAGGAGTTCCTCTTAAGAAAAGGAAAAATCCAGGTAATTCCGTGCAGTGGCAAAGCAGACTGGGAATGAGTTTTGTTGTTTGTTTGTTTGGGGAGGGAACACTAGTTTTATTCAGTGAAATGGTGCTTTACCATCAAGGAAAGACTACCTGGTGGAATGTTCCAGAACAGGCAGACTTTTGACCCCCTCTGCTGCTTATGACCTCTTGTTCTCTGCTGTCAAGAAAACCACTTTTTTTTTTTCTTTTGAGGAAATTGAACAAAATTAAATGGAACTGTGTGGGCAGACAACACCTCAGTGTGTTATTGGGGACAGATTAGGATCTATCGGCTTCCTGGACGACCTCGGATTTCACACAGCTCAGACACTTCAACACAACCCTGCTTTAAGTGACAAATGGCCTCCTGCATGCAGGCCCTGCCCTGGACACTGGTTAGAGCCACACCATCTGCTGGGCACTGGTAGAACCACATTGGCTACTGCAAAACATAAGACTGTTTTCCTGTGGTCCTCTTACAAGAAAAGTGAGGCCTTAGTATTGGTGGGCAAATTGAGAAAACAAAACACATATAACTTGTCATTTAGAAAATGGAGAAGGCCACCTGATGTGTTACACTGAGTTTTCAGAAGAGAACATATTCCACGTGTTAGCCCTCCAGCTCACCTTTATGCTGAATTTAAGAGAGTATCCTTTGGGATATCATAACAGCCTGGGTCAGATGATAAACATCGACCTTCAAATGTCAGGGCAGTGGCCAGAACTATGGCAGCTTGATTACCTGAAAAAGCTTCACACTGCAAATATTTAGAAAAGCTGCATAGTATTTTTTTTTCCAAAAATGCATTGGTGATTCTTTATGGAAATATCAGAAACATGTAACCCAATGCAGAGGCAGGTAGGGGTGAAGTGGATTTTGGTTTAAAAAATATGAAAGTCTAATTTTCATGGCCCATAAGAGATAAGAATTGAGATCTTGGAGCTACATAAATAAGAGTGGGAACTAAGGGTCTCTGATTGGGGTATGACTCTGTGAAGATAGGATCAGGAAATTACCTGGGCAGCAGAACAGGATTATAAGGAAGTCAGTCTCTTTGTGCCTGAATTCAGGTATGAAGAGAGAAATCTCCCCCAAATTCATAATACAGCCCTTTCCTAAGCACAGGATCCCGGCTCAAATTCTCACTTCCCACTCTGCCCTGGAATTCCTTGGATAAGAAATGAGTATACTAATTGTTCCATACCTGTGTGTCCCTTTGGAATTTGAGAAAAGCAGAGATAAAATCTCTTTTGAGAAACACTCTCATAACAGAGCACATGGGAAAAAAAGTAAATCTCAATATTAAAATATATGAGGATGAAATATCCTGCACTCAAAGGTCAGCAGGCACAACATGAGTAGCAGTGTTAAAACCAGAGTAACCCGGGATAAATAAATAACAGTCTGAAAGAGAATATAAAGTAAGTGTGTTTAAAATGATTCCAGTTATAGGCTGAAAAATAGATACTAGTAAAAAGGAATAAACAGATTGTAAAAGAATAAGCTAAATCTTTGAGAAATAAAATGTAATCATTGAAATTAAAAATCTCAATTGGCAGATAAGCAAAGAAGTGATATGGTTGGAGAGAAGATTAGTGATCTGGAAGATACATATAAGGAAGAATACTTAGAACATAGAGAAAGAAATGTAATATATGATATACAACTTTCATGTGTTTTTATAGAGTATTATAGAAAGGAAATAGAAAAAAATAGGGAAGAGTAAACATTCAAATAAACGATTGCTGAGAATTCTCCAGTACTCTTCAAGGACAGATCCAAGAAATATACTGAGTCCTAAACAGGAAAACCACACATGGGCACATTGAAGTGAATCTACAGGATGCTAAATCAAAGATAAAATAGTAAAAAGCACCAGAGAGAAAAGCAGAACAACTACAAAGGAACAGCAAATTATGTAGTACAGATTTCTTTAAAAATAATAATCAGGAAATGGTGAAATAATGTAGTTAAAATACGCAGAGGAAAAAATATTGCAAAATTTTATATGCAAATAAGCTGCTATTCACAGGCAAGAATGAAATAATATTTTTGTTCACACAAAACCTTAATAAGAACCACAAACTTTTATATATGGACTTTAATTTTAAAAATTAAACATAAAGAGAATAAAAATATGACAAGAAACTATGGTAAATAAATAATTGGTAAACATATAGGTACATCTAACAAGTCAAGGTAAAATAACTATAGGTGATTTAGGGACTATTTTAATTTGCAAATAAATATAAAATATACCAATGAGGTCCAACTAAACTCTTAGATAACTATTGTATTGAAAGTGGGAGGGAACAATTGGACGTAAAGGAAACTCAAATATTTCTATAGTTGGTAAAAATGGCTAAGAAATTCATTAATATTAGAATCAAGTATGTCTGCTAAAGTGTCACCAAAGAACAGAAGGACAATCTGTAACTTACAAAAAAGTGGAAAGGAAAGGAGGGTGTGGACGGGGATAAATAAAATCTTAATTTGTAGAAGAAAACAGGAGAGGAGAAGAAATAAGTGTCCTGTTTTGATTTTTTCATAGAAAACAGCATTTTTGTTACATGCACATAAATGAGTGAGAAGTTTTGTGTCACCATCTGCTGACATACCCAGGAGTTTAAAAATTAATGCAGTGAACACTGCAGCTGGCAGCACCTCCTTCTACGGCTTTTCCAGGCACTTTGAGCGTCCCTTGCTTCCCTTCTACACTCTCTCGGTAACATTATTAGCAGTTTTGCTAAAAACAAACCCATGAACCCTCGCATGGTAATGCCGGTGTTCACCAGGCCGCACGTTCTTGGCTGCCCCGTGGAAGACAGGAACACAGTCGGCTCCCAGTCTGTGACAGGGAATCCCCTAGCACCAGGGTCTGGATGAGGCCGCGCCAGGCTGACTGTGCTCATAGACACTACTGCCTCCTACTGGTTACCGAGCGGCCATACAAGTCAGTTTCCCCGCTGTGGAGGTGAATGGCAATGACACTCTCCCTAGAGGACGGTTGTGAGGAAGTCACCAGCACAGCTGGTGTTGTCGTTCATTACTTATCAGTCACACCCCCAAGCTCCATAGATGTATTGCAATAAAAATAAATAATAACAACAATTAATAAAATAACAATGGTAGCAATGATTACTGTTATATTTTTATGACTATTACATGGTGTATGTTATGCTAAACTATTCCCACATGCATGTTGGTTTGGATGCTGAAGGTCCCCTAGAGTTAGATGAGTTGAAGACTTGGTCCCAGGTGGCACAACTGGGAGGTGCTGTGGACTCTTGGGTGCTGGAGAGTAATGGAAAATCCTAAGGCCCATTTCAAAGGGAATTGTAGGATCCTGGATCCTTCCTGCCTCTGTTTGCTCTTGCCATGATGTGCTGCCTCATCACAGGCCCAAAGTGATGGAGCTCTCTGTGAGCATCCAAAACTATGGACCCAAATAAACCTTTTCTCTTTTTAAGTTAATTGCCTCATGTATTTTGTTAGAGTAACACAAAACTGAGTATTATACTGCATATTAACTAATGCATTAACTCATCCTCCAAACAACCACTTTGAATAGTATTTATTACATCCCTGTTTTTTTTAATATTTATTTTTTGGTTAGACACAATACCTTTATTTTGTTTATTTATTTATTTTTATGTGGTATTGAGGATTGAACCCAGGGCCTCGCACATGCTAGGCAAGCGCTCTACCGCTGAGCCACAACCCCAGCCCAACATCCCTGTTTTTATAGATGGAGAAATAAGGGCTTGAGAAGTTAAATTGGGTTGGTGAACTATAGCCTGCAGGCCAAATCAGCCCATGCCCACTAGGTGACACATTGCCTGTATATACAGGGCGACTTCCATGCTGTAGGGGTGGAGGAATTGTGAGAGAGGTATATGTGGTCCATAAACTCAAAAATACCTACTCCCTAGTTGATCCTTTATAGAAAACGTGTGCAGACCTTTGAATTAGATGATCCTTCAAGTGCACACTGGTGAGAGATGCCAGTCTGTAGTGAAATTGAGAGGCATCCTTTCCAGACATGACTTTCAATATTTTTGTAACTTAAGTATTGTATTGTCGTCTTGGGTTGTAAATACTCGATTCCTGGCATGTTCTAGTTACATATAGCTAGCCTCTATAACTTGGAACCCCGAGAATCTCACGTCTCCGCACAGGGAAGTGTATTTCAGTCTCGGGTCAGTGAGGGTGTAGTTGGGCAGGGGCTGCTAAGAGGACTCCTCTCTCTGCAGTCATTCTCTTACCATGGCTGCTGACAAAGACTCGGGTCTCCCTGAAGGTCAACACGCACAATGAAGCGGGTGGAGACTGTGTAAGAAAAGTGTTATCAGTGGAGGCCTTGAGTTCAGACACCAACTCCCGGGCGTAGAGAATTCTGAGCAAAACAAGATGACTCCAGTGTCTTGCCAGTCCCGCATCCTCAGACTGCCTGCTTGGATGAGACTTTCCCACAAATAACCTTTCGGTGGAGCCTATATACTAAATGTGCTGAGCCAGCTCTGGGTCGGTCATGCCTTTGCTGAATCACCTGCCCCACCTTTCCCTCTCTGTGTGTGTCTGTCTGTCTTTCCTTCATCCCCCACCACCCCTCATCTGGATTCTGAGCTAACAGCCCAGGTGTGAGTCTACACTTATTCCCAGATTCTGTATTTACACACTTCTCACTTTGTGGGGTTCATGGAGAACTAGACTCAAGGCTTCTTCCCATTGGTTCACAAATACGTAGGTGGTGCCCAGGTCAGGGGACAGTGGCTGGCTGGACACACACTCCCATCGGGGACAAGCTTCTTGTTCCAGGTCTGCCATAACCAGTGTCCTTCCTACGGTCTGTTGCCTGCTGTTCCATTTTTCAGGGATTGCACTGTGTAACCCCCTGCCCAGTGTAGTGCTGGGGCTGGCTGTCACTCTTGTGTGCAGGAGGCTTGCAGTGTGACTCATGGACACAGGATGAGAGTCTGACTCATTCGGGTACAAGTGACAGTGCTGCTGTCCCACTTAATAAAATAATATATGCAAAATAAATATTAAATGATGTGTCTTTAAACAGAAGCAACCAGAAAACGAGGTTCCGCGTTTGTTCATGAAAACATTGAGATCAGCGGTTCCCAGGAAGCTTCCCCTGAATGTCCCACAAGAGCATCATTTGGTATCCACTCAGCGTGGATGGGACTGGGCAGAACATGGCATGTCAACACCTGTGACTCACTGTGTTACATACCAGCACAGTAAATAATAGAGATCATAATAAATAAATAAAAATAATTACATAATTAATTACTTTTCAAAAACAAATAACTTTTGCAGTCATGGCGTCCCACGGATGATTGCTGTTGTGGCTACTCATTCGCGTAAAGGAAGACAGTCCTACAGGAAGAGAACTCTGATCATTTGGTACTTGGAATTTCAGCCTTTTGTTGAGCAAGGCCTAGAGGCAGGCTCTGAAAGTACCTCCAAGGACGTGGACATCATTTATTTCTAAGCTCAGGCACAATTGGCAAATTACTGAGAAGCATTCATAAAGCAACGGTGAAGCAACGGGAAGGACAAATTTGGTTGAGATCTGACTCTGAAAAACCACCTGGGGCTTGCCCGTTGAGTTCCTAGCTTGTTGCGAACATCTGGGTTGAGATTTACCTTCTTTATGGCCTGCTGGGATTAACTTCTTTTGCTGGATCTCCATGAGTCCTAGAAAGGTCCTCGGGCCCCCAAAATGCTGGGGGGGGGGGCTGATGAGACGTGTGTACTCAGCTTCTCGAGCACAGCAGAAGCTTAGATTCAGAACCAAGGATGCAGAGCACGTGGCTGTGTGAGACCCAGGGCTGAATTTTGTTCCCCAAGAGAGGGACTAGGCTCCAGTACCTCAGAATGACACCTTATTTGGAAATAGACTCCTAGCAAATTATCAGGTTAGGATGGGTTCATCAGGGAGGGCCCTAGCTCAATACGACTAATTCTTATCAAATAGGACATCTGGACATGCACAGAGGAGGACAAGGGAGAAGGGAGCACCCAGAAGCCAGGGATGCCTGAGGCTGAGCCTAACCCACCTCCTCAGCTAGAGGGGTCCACTCCTCCAGTGAGTGGTGACCTGCAGGGTCCGGGAGTTGTTCCTCCCTCTTTCAGCTCATGGTCTTTCTGATGCCCAAGGGTACATATGGCCTGGTCCCCTACATTGGTGGCTGTCAGTCCAGGCCAGGTGGCACAATGAGGAGCAGTGACATTCTGGGGTTGTGTCCTGAAATACTGACACATTTAGTTACGACCCAAGAGCTAAGCCTGGAGGAAACACCACTGGTTACGTGTGGGCAGCGTGAAGTAACAACCAGGAAAAGAGGCAGAGCAGACCCTCGGGACCGCTTCTGAACCTGTCTGTGGCTCACCTTTGGCCCCGCGGTGACTCGGTTAGTCACAGGCCAACAGGGTGCCCAATCTGTAAGCGAAATGTGAGGACAGATGTTTTAAAGAAAAAAATTGCCACTCATGGATTTTAGTTTGTTCTTGTTCACAAATCGACCACTTGCCCAGGGCTGGGTGCCTTGGAACAGTCCCAGATGTGGAAAGAAGTTTTTTTCCTGAGTGAATCCACTTCCGGGGCCTGAAGCCAGGGCCCTAGGTGGGTGCTGTTCTTCTGATGTGCGTGGGTAGCGGGGGGCGGGAGCAGGGGCTGCATATAATAGCTTGCCATCCGGTTTTTCTCAGTCCTGTTGAGTAGGATAAGAATGCTATTTTGAATTGGGCAAAGGAATTCCCTGGCATAAAAGTAAAATTTCACAGAAGGCAGAAAAATAGCAGCTTTCATATGTAGAGTTAGATATATTTCTAGATTTTATTTTGACATGCTTTGTATATATTAATTTTGTATTTTACATTTTGTATTAGTGTGCATTTTATTTATTTACCTATGAGACATGTACATTTTCTCTTCATAGGCTATATATTTTATAATAAGACAGATGGATATATTTTAGAGTAGACTGCAAAATTCAATTTCTTCCCCAATTCTGTGGAGCAAACCCTGGGCCTTGAACATGCTAAGCAAATGCTCTACCACTGAGCTACACTCCCAGTCCGACAGCAAAATTCAAACAACTGTTTTAGATAAAAGAAATATTATATGGGTGATGGGCTTCCTAGGTATTTGGTCATTAGGATACTATATTATTAAATTAAGTGAAAAAAAGCACAACATAACTAAGAATAGAACATACACAGAATTTTACAGAAAAGGAAAACATATACATTAGAAAACACTCCATCTTTGGTGGTCTAGCTGGGTGATTTTTATTTTCTTTTGCATGATCAATTTTAAGTGTCCACATTTTCTACACAGAACATGGGTATTACTTACACAATCAGAAAAAAATAAGATTCTCTGACAAGCTTTCCATGCACTTTCCTATTTACTTTGTTTACTTTCATTTGCATGTTCATTTTCTGCCTGGTGTTTGAAGCGCATGGTAAAGCCATAAACAGAACTTTCCAGGATGCAACAAATACTATTGCAAAGGAAAAGAACTGTCTTCAGGTATGTCCTCTGTTCCCACCTACGAATGGGCTCTCAAATTCCCTCGCAGTGCTACCAGCAAGCCCTGCTCCAGCTGAGAGAGCAGCCGTGGACGCATAACACTTTGATCATATAGTGAGTGATTGATGTTAATTCCAAGGAGGCTTTCAAGACAGTCTTAGAAATATTTGCTCTGGTGTTTCGAAACGAAAAACCCTTTGATCCCCTGTAAGCTTTCTGCATGGTGGGACAGGACTGCAGAGTTCAAGGGTATGTCTCTTGGCAAGGTCTAACCTGTGAGCTCACCCATCCCCACGGTTCTGGTGCCTGCTTCTCGTGCCAGGTGCCAGGTCCTGATTCTCTGCACCCAGGGAACGTTCTGGAAGCCGTGGCCCTGGCCACATTTGCCTGAAGAGGCAAGAGAGGTGCCTGCAGGAATGGCCCCCTATTTTAGGACAGATGCTTTAAAGGAACTGGAAAAACAAATTCTTTCTTACCTCCTCTTGAAACTTTCATTAACAGTGTTTATTCTTGGATGAAGGGGATTAAGGGAAAAGGTATTTCAGATGTTGGTTCCCTGCCGGATGCTGAGATGCTGGCTCCCAGCTTGTGATGCAATCGTTGTATAACATGAACTCTGCCGAAGCTGTTTTAATGTCCCCTAGCTAGGGGCTGCGCTAACTGAAAACAGGCTTCCTTCCCGACACGCCTGAGTGTTGCTTTGGTGGCCTCCACTTAACATCTTCTCAAACTTCTCGTAAGGCAGTTGTTTTCAATAGTTCTTTCCCGTGGTGGAATGGGAGAGAGGACATGACTTCCTGTCATTTGGGAAAGTAAATCCAAGGACAAAAAGGGAGTAGAGTTTCTGGGAAGCAAAGCTTGTAGGATCAAGCAGGATTGGGCGGTGCAGGTGCGGGCTCTCCCCTCCGAGCATGGCCAGGTCAGGGCCTGCACAGGGTCCCCAGGCTTACAGCCCAGAGTGAGTAATGATCCCTTCAAGATTTCTGTGTGGGAGGGCAGGACTGACATTGGCACTGGTACTTTTCCAAAATCAGAGCACCTCAAGAGACAGGGCGGAAGGAGCCAGCTGCCCCTGAATTCTGACAGGCTTCACGCAGAACACCCTCTATCCGTCATTCCTTCCAGTGCCTCGACTTGACTTTCCAGGTTACCATCACAGGTGAGCAGGAGAAGGCTCAGAGAGGGGAGGGAACTTCCCAAAGTCAAGACGCTGGTAGGTGGCAGGAGCAGAATTCAACCGGCAGTGTCTCATTCTGAAGTCTGGGCTTCCTTCCACACGCTGTGCTAATTCATCTGTCTAACTCACCTTTTAAATAGAAACAGAAGGAATCTTAGCGATGGATAAGCAGGTGAGAGGGGAGAGAATTGGTCAAGACAGTTGGTTTTGTCTTATGAAGATCAGATCCTAAACGGTTTTTTCTTCACTTTCAAAGGTAAGAGACTTAAACTGGGGGAGGAATAAATTGGTCACACCTCTGCCCAAGCTATGTACCCAGGCAACCAGGCCAAGAGGAGCAGGCTGGGACTCTCACCTCCATGGGAGGGTGGCAGAGGGACCTTCCTGATCCACTGCTCATGAGTTGAACCCTCTCCTGAGACCAAGCATGGAACAGAGGTCTGTCATGACCAACAATCAGAGTCACTATCACCGCTCTAGCTCTTGTTTTGACAAAGTCTGGCCTTGATAAAGGTGGAATTAGAAAGTCGGCCAGAATTTCTTCACAACTTGAAAGTGAAGGAAATCATTAATTTGGTTCCTTTGGGCAAGTAGTCCTAATTGATCAGGACTCAAAATATACAGTCTGCATTTTTTCAGTTGATAAAATATGCAAGTAATTAACTTTTCTTTATCTTAGAGCCAAAATAACTGAAATGAAGTAAAACAGGGAAATTCAGTGGTTCTGAGTTATGTGACGAGCCACAGTCCCCCAGGAGCATGGAGGACCTGGGAGCAGGAACCTCCATCTCCCCAGGATGGCCTCACCTCAGCCCTGGCAAGTAGAGCCAGGCACGTCTTCCCCTTGTTGGGATCCTGCGTGGAATCCATGTGTGGGACACTGATACCTGTCACACGCCTGGGTCCCCAGAGCAGGACTGGGTGTGGGAGGGGCTCGCCTGTCTGGGGATACAGAGTAAGGGAAAAGGAGGTCTATTGGGTACAGGAGGGGAATCCTCGGAGAGTTCAAGGGTATGTGGAGAGAATGAACACCGGGCCAAAATCACACGGGAACCCAGGAGAGACAAGCTGGGGGGTTGCAAATGACCTGGAGAGACTAGGAATAGAGGGCACAATGCCCCGTGTAGTTGGATAGTCCCCCGAGAGCTCACGCCCCCTGAGACCCCAGCATGTGATCTTCTTTGGAAATAGGAGTCTGCAGTTGAAGTAGTTGGGGATACAAATGAGACCACACTACATCAGGATTGGCTCTAAGTCCACTGACTGGCACCCTTAAAGAATAGAGGACTCCAGCTGGGTATGGTGGCGCACACCCGTAATCCCAATGACTGGGAGGCTGAGGCAGGAGGCTTCAAGTTCAAGGCCAGCCTCAGCAACACAGCAAGGCCCTGAGCAACTTTCCGAGACTCTGTCTCAAAAGAAAAAATAACTTTTCTTTATCTTAGAGCCAAAAGAACTGAGATGAAGTAAAACAGGGAAATTCAGTGGTTCTGAGTTACGTGACAAGCCACAGTCCCCCAGGAGCATGGGGAACCTGAGAACGGGAACCTCCCCCTCCCCAGGATGGGGATATGGAATAAGGGAAAAGGAGGTCTAGTGGGTACAGAGAGAGGAGAGAATGTGGCTCAGTGGCTACGCTTCCCTGGATTGGATCCCCAGTACAAAAAAAAAAGAAGAAGAAGACACATAAACACGGAGAAGCCACGTGAAGAGAGGATACACTGGCCCCAGAGCCTCCGAGGGAGCATGACCCTGCCTACAGAACGAGGGAAGAAAATCTGCTCTCTTCAGCCACCAGGTGGGTGGCAATTCAGAAACAAAGCATCTCATAGCGGGGCCTGAGGCCGTTCACACATCATCCTGGCCAGAGCAGGGGGTGAAGATGGCCTGGATGGGAGAAGCCCGTGCACACCCTGAGTCCCCGACACGGGGACCTTTCAGGAGCTAAGTGGGCAGCGAGCAGATGCAGAGCTGGGCCGGAGGGGCTGCTGCTGAGGCCCCACAGGCTGCAGCCTCCACCAGGACAGGACGGAGCACCTGCGGGAGCCATGGTCAGTCTCCAGGGCAGGAAAGGATGTGGCGGAGGAACTTAGGGGGATTTTATTTGACACGAGTTGAAGACATTGAAGTCCCTTGGTCCTGACCCCTAAACAGCCCAGGGTTTCCTGGCCATCAAAATTGGAATTTAACATTGGCACCCCCTTATCAAATCCCCTGTCCTATTCAAATTTGGTCAATTTTCCAAATAATGTCATCTGTGACTCTTTCTTCACAGGTGCAAGATCTAATCCAGAATCCAGCATTCGATGATCACTTCCCCCGGGGCTTCTTCATTCTGAAACGATTCCTTGGTCTTTCCTGGCCTCTCGGCCTCTGGTTTGGAAGACTGTGGGGCAGTGGTCTCCGGGGAGCCCTCGTCTTGGGGCAGCCATCATGTAGTAGGTCCCTCACTTCAGTTTGCTGGATGTTTCCTCAAGATTAGATCCAAGTTGTGCATGTTGGCAGAAGCACCTCACAGGAACAGCTGCACCTTATCAATGCATTACACTGGGAGACGGGCGATGGGCTTATCCCACTGACTCTTAGGTTGACTCTTCCCTCAGTGGAGACGGTATCCACTGCGCATGTCCATGTTAAATCCCTGTCCTTCGGTTGGCTTAGAACTGAAGACGACGCTTCCCACCGTGTGCAGAACCACGCACTACGCACACCTGCTACAAGGAGAGGGTGAAGACAGGCAAAGGATGACACTCCTTCTATCTAAAGGAGATTCTTTCCCACAAGGGAAGCGCTCAAGAAACCTGGCAGGCCCTGAGTCCACTAGAGAAAAGGGGGCAACAGGTAGCACCGACAGTGTCAAGTCCAAGTCCAGCCCTGCTCAGGTGGTCCTTCGGCTTCTGCTGTTCTGCAGCCCTCAGAGTCCCAGAGGCAGGGGTCTGTGTCATCAGGACCCCCAGGGAGGAGGAGGGTCACACCAGGTGAGCGCAGGGACCCAGGGCCACCAGCAGTTTTCATGACCTGTTTCTTCTTCTTTTTTTGTTTTGTTTTGGTGCTGGGGATTGAACCCAGGCCCTTGTGCATGTGAGACAAGCCCTCTACCAACTGAGCTAGATCCCCAGCCCGTGTTTATTTCATCTTTTGCACATTTGATTCACCCCTTTTAGCTTTGCCACTATTATTTAAATGGTGCTGCTGCTGCTCTTCCTAAAGTCTGACAACTTTATAATTTCTAAATGGTATTTTTCAAATATACATTTAATAGTAGCTCTTTTGAGGACATTATTTCCACATCAGTGAACCTCTAGAATTAGATACACAGTATCACATTTTCATTTAAATAAAGGGCCCATTCTTACTCAAAAATCAACATTTGACACGGATAAAGATCTATAAAACAGTAAAAGATCATTTCTATAAGCTGTGAGCAGTTATTGGAAATCTGTATGAATCATTTCATACTTAGCTCAATACATTTTGGGTTTCTTAAAATGCTAACAAAAATGATCTAAATGACAACACACCATTAAAACCTCATCATTCTTTTTCAGATTAGTCCTAAGTTCTAGATTAATTCAAGGGAGTTGCACACTTTTACGACTATTTGTTTCTCATTTTATAATCCTTTTAACCTTCGTTGTTTTAAGATATTGTTTCTAAATTTTATCAGCCAAAATAAGTTTTCCTTTGATAGCAAACACACACACATGCGCTCTCTCTCTCTCACACACACACACACAACACACACACACACACACACACACACACACACTCATGTGCTGCTCACTCATGCGCACTGGGGCCGGCTTGCAGGGACCTGGTGGAGCAGGAGGCAGGGCCCAGCACAGGAAGGGGACCCGTAAGCTGAGTAAGCAGAGACCCAGAGAGGAAATGAGGCCAGTGTGAGCCAAGGGCAGAGGCTGAGCTGGGCGGAGGGCCTTCTGTCTGCAGCAGAGGAAGCAGGAAGGAGCAGGCCCCACCAGGGACAGTGGTGGCCAGGTGGGCAGGAGACAATCTGGATGGTCAAAGATCCGCACAAGCTCTGTTAAGACCCTGTAGGTCACGCTTGCTTCCACGAAGCCCAGTGGAAACAGGAGCCCACTAAGATGAGAGCAGTGGACAGAGGTTCGGGGGAAGGAGAGGACAAGGCCCCTGACTTCTGAGAATCCCACTCCTGAGAAGGCTCTGAGGCAGGGGAGCCTCTTCCAGGGTTTTTGAGGAATCTCCTCTGTACGTGTGGTTTTGCGTCTTGTAAGGTCACAAAACACAACACCCTGGGCCACTCTGAGGGCCTGTGGCTGTAGCTTTCTTTCCCTTCTCTTAGGTTGGCTGATCTTCTGGAGACCACTGTCATTTCCTCAGCCCACTGTGACCATTTTAAGAGAATAACCAGGGCACTTGCAGACTGGGTCCTGCTGTCTTGGAGGGAGTTGGACATCTTGGCAGGGCCTGAGTCCCACAGGGGTCTTGAGCTTCTGCACTCCTCGGGTCCCCAGACTGGTCTCAGCTGAGGGTTCTTATTCTCTCTTGGGAGGGAGAGACTCTGCAGTGGGTAGCCCAGGGTGGAGTCCCAGGGGTGCACCAGGAGGCTCTGAGCCTGAGTCTGCAGAGACACCAGGGCAGGGAGGTGTGGCTGAAGACAGTGGAGGTAGCAAGCTGAGCCCAAAGAAGGACACCCGTCCCTAAAGGCCACCCCTGAAGATGACTGGACAGATAGCACTGTCTTCAGGGCCTCTTAGAGTCAGGTGCTGAGGCTGACAGGGCCACCCAGGGAGGAGCTTGGGTCAGCAGGTCACCCCAGAGCAGAGACCCTCTGGATGGGTCAAGTTCTCCACCCTCAGCTCCAGTAGAGAGACCTTGGGAAAAGAGTGAGACATCACGTTTATCACCAGCCAGAACCTGGACAATCTTACCAGCCTAAACTCCGCATTTTCTCTTCATCATTTTAAGGTTTCCGATGACTCCTTTTTAAAACCTTTGCCTAAAATTGATTATCCTTATAAGGAAAAGAGTATCAAGTGCCCATTAAGTGATCACAGATAATAAAATTTGGGAAGACTTGCAAGACCATGGGACCTGGCCAAGCCTCCAGGCAGAGAGAGTCAGGGAACACACTTCTCCTTGAAGCAGCTCCCCCCATCCATGGTGCACCTTTGCCTTCGGACCCCTCGGGAAGCTGGTTTCTCTGATCCCCTTAAGGAGACACGGGGACAATCATGAGATTCACCTTGCAACACAGTGGTCAGGAGGCTCCGGGACCTGCTTTTTTTAGATTTGTATTCCAACTCTGACTTTGTACCTACTCTGCAAGACTGCAGTTCTCCTTTTTTAAAAAACATTTGTGGGCTGGGGATGTGGCTCAAGCGGTAGCGCGCTCGCCTGGCATGCGTGCGGCCCGGGTTCGATCCTCAGCACCACATACCAACAAAGCTGTTGGGTCCGCCGAAAAAATAAATATTAAAAAATTCTCTCTCTCTCTCTCTCAAATAAATAAATAAATAAAAATTTAAAAAAATTTTGTTAAATGGGGGAATTATTAACACTTACCTTTAGCGTTGTGAGGATTCACTTTGGAATTATAATTATCCCTGGAGAAATGTGACTTTCTTTGTTTTTGACTAGTGTGTCAGTGAGCTATCCTTGGCTGTGACAAAATACCTGCAGAAATCAACTCAAGAGTAGGAAAGGTTATCTTGGATCATGATTTCTGAGGTTTTGGTCCATGGTCGGCTGGCCCTGTTGTTTAGGGGCCTGGGATGAGGCAGAACATCATGGTGGGAGCTTGTGGCCAAGCGAAGGTGCTCACCTCATGGTGCCCAGGAGGCAGAGAGAGAGGGGAGGGGTGGGGTTCCCAACATCCCCATCAAGGCCCACCCCATGACCCAACTCCTTCCACTGCCCTCCGAGCGCTGTCACTGCCCAGCAGCACCCCAGCTGGAGACCAACCGTCAGCTCACGGCCTTTGGGGGAGGTTTCTGACCCAAACCACAGCAGCCAGAACCACTTCACCCTTGGTTGACAAAACCAAAAGACCCTGCACTTTGGAACATCTTGAGATTGGAGTATTTCAAGGGCCTTCCCCGTAGGTATCCAACAGAGCCCAGAGGCTCCCACCCCCGGTGACAGCCTGCTCCGGAACAGGGGCTGTGGGAAGAGCTCATGGCCACTCTGGAAGCTGTGCTGGTGAATGGTCCCCCTGCCAGCGGCACTGAAGTCCCCAGTCAGGTGCCGAGGACTTGCTGGGGCTCTCCACAACGCTCCCACTGGACAATGGATGATGGATGCTGTGGGAAGTCTGTTGTCAGGGGACAGGTGACCTGGGAACAAGAGTCCTGGCCAGAAAGGACAGGACCTGATGGGAGGGGGCCTTTCCCGGTTCCAGATGGGTTAAGCCTGTGAGACGAAGAAGCGTGTTTTCCTTTATGTTGCTTGGCTTGCTTTTTAAATGAGATTCAACTGGTCTGGGGAAGAGGGAGCTCTTAAGCACCCATAGCTGTCAAAGGCTAACCACAGGTCCCTTTTAATCTGGGATATGGCCAGATACCCCATAAATAAGGCCGCCTTTTAAAAATCATCAAAAGATGGACTTAACTCTCTGGCTTACTTTTATCTTGTGTCTTACTTAGAGACAGGGTCTCACTGAGTTGCTTAGAAACTGGCTTTTGCTAAGGCTGGCTTTGAATTTAAGATCCTCCTGCCTCAGCCTCCCAAACCACGTGCTGCCATGCCCAGCTCTGGCTTACTTCTGAAAGAATATTCAAGAAGCAAAGGCAGGAGTTGGCATTCCTCTGACTTCTAGAACTTTGGCCACATGACATGTGTGTGTTGTGTTGTGTTGGGGCCTTCAGAAGTTCTATGTCTGTAGCCCCAGGTTTCTTCCACCCACCACAGAGGCAAGGTCAGGCCTTTAAAATCCTGAGGAAAGTGCAAGAAATCTCAGGAATGGTGATTCTCTCTATGGCTGGTTTCTTCCAACTACCACGGGAAGAAACCAGGACCTGGTCCAGTGTGGGTTTCAGGTAGACAAGGTCCTGACCGAGACACCACTCTGATGTGAAATCGTGTTGGAAGGTCAGGCTTGAAGGATAAAAATGCAGATGGATTTATTTCAAGCAGATGAATTTATGTTGAGCAGACATGGCCATGCACACACCTGTTGGTGACAGAGACTGCTTCAGCATTTCTGTAGCAGCCATGGCTGATCTGAAAATGAGCTTGCACGTCCTAAGCAAGTTTTGTTGGAAGGCAAGAGGACCTTGAGGCTGGTTTTTCTTGAATATTCCCTCATGTTCTCTCTGCTGATGAAATTTCCAGTCTGAATCACAGTTAGGATGAACCAAACGGATACAGTAATTGTAAAACTGATGCAAAAGGACAACTCCCTCCCGTGCCTCCTGGATACCTAATTCCAGCCACCAGACAGAACCTTCCAGCTCAAACCACATCCCCGCCACCCAGCACCAGCAGGTTCTCTGAACAGGATAAGGAAAGAAGGCGGCTCTCACCCATCCATTCAGGTGTGGGGAGGATGGTTGGAGGTGAGGATCCATTCCCCCGGGGAGGTGAATGCCACCCTGTCCACTAACTCTGGGGAGACCAGGGGCGTAGGGAGCAGGGTCTGTGGAATGCCACCTGTCTGGGGCACCTGACTCCCCAGGCCCAGACTGGACCGTCCCCCAAATGCCTGATAGAAAATGCTCATGAGAAATCCCCAGCTGGGGCTCCAAAGCAAAGCCCTCGCCCTGTCTTCAGCTTCCAGAACACAGTTGCGATGACTAAATCTCCAGGTCTCTGCCACCAGTTGACACGAAGCCCAGCTAAGACCTCTTGTCCTGCAGGGAGGCCAAGCCCCAGGAGACCTGTGTGCTGTGGGTCTCAGGCCCATCTGGGCCCTGTGCCCAGGGCTAGAGCCCAGCCGCCTGCTCCTTCCCAGCACCCCCCAGTGTCCCCTCCTGGAAGCACAGCCCTCCTCACCCTCCCAGAGCTGTGGCTCCACTGGACCCCATGCTATCGGGTGAGGGGAAGAGTGCTGGCCCCCACAGGACCCTGTGTGTGGGGCGTTGGCTCAGGAATCATCCAGGCCCGAGGGGGAGGGACAGGACCCCAGTGGCAGGGAGGACCATAGAGACTGGAGAGGGAGTCACCAGGGAGAGCACCCCAGCCCCATCCTCCCTTGGTCCAGGCCTTCTCCCCAGAACATGTGGCCCGAGGCTCCTCCACGTCCTGTGATGGGGTCACAGGGGTCTCTGCAGAACTGCAAAGGGCGGGAGGGAGGGGCAAACCAGCGCTGGGTGCTCTGTGTGCTGGGTTAATAGCCTCTCCCCAAACCCATGTCCTTCCCAGAGCCACAGAGTGTGACAGCAGGGTCTTTGCAGGTGTGATTGTTGGCATGAGGTCATACTGGATTAGGAGGGGTCCTAAATTCAAAGACTGTTGTCTTTACAAAGAGAGAAAACAGAGATGCAAAGACACAGGCAAGAAGCACAAGAGGATAGAAGGGGAGCGCAGAGTGTAGCGGCCACAAGCCAGGGAACACCAGGGGTGGGCAGCTCCCAGCAGCACCAGAGAGTCCCAAAGGCCCTGAGAGCTCCCAGGAACAGCCAATATGCCACTCCTTGATTGCAGACAGAACTCCGACATCCAGGACTGTGAGAGAACGAACTTCTGCTGTGTCAAGACTCCAATCTGCGGAGCTTTGTTTGTTACAGCAGCCACAGGAAACTCATACAGTGCCACACACACACCAACCTGCAAGCTGGAACCCACCCAGCCTGAGCTGTCATTAAAAGCAACATTTACGTGTGGCTGAGATCTGCTGTCCACATTTCAAGGAGGCACCAATAGTAAGAAAACAGAATAGTCCAGGCCCTCCTGTAGGTATTTATTTTAGAAGCAGCCTTCTGGGGAATGTTCTGTGAACTTGAGGATGGCGTTACCTTTGCTGTTTGAGCCAGGTGGGTGGCTGCAGGTGCTGGGGGAGGCACCAGGGCTTCTGGTTTGCTCTGCAGCTCAGCAGGGGGCCCTGCTCTCACAGCACAGGTGCAGGACAGCTGGAGATCCATTTCCCTGGGCAGGTGAATGCCGCACTCTGTCCCCCCTCCATCCTGGGGAAGGTGTCTTCACTGGGGTGCGTCCATGGAGGGACGCGGATTCTGCATCTGATCCTATATCCCTGCCGCCCCTCTCCCCTCTCCATAGAGGTGGATGTAAGTCAAAGGCCCTGGAAAAGGCATTGTGGGACCAGCTGATCTGTGTGCTGGGTCAGCTGAGCACTTGGGGGGAGCAGCCTCACAGGTGGCCACAATGGGGGGGCAGGTCCAAGGACATTCTGATGTGGCTCCAGCCCTCCAGGACCCTGTGATCCTACTGGACCCAGGGTCCCAGCACAGGTGAGGCAGGATGTAATTGAGAGCAGAGGAGGATCCAGGTCACCTGGTGGGATATACCCCCTTGCCTTGCTTGCCTTGGAGACCAACAGGGCAGCTGCATCCATGGCGCTTGTTAACGGCTGCAACCCTGCGTCCACCCATACCTGTGACTCACGGCGTGGGATGCATTTCCTGTCTGAGGTGTTATGAAGTGACCCCCAGGGGTTGCTCTGCAAGAGCAGGTGCAAGTCAACCGAGAAATTTAACCTCGTCCCTTGGGTTTTCTCCTGGACTCTGGAGGGCGCTTCCTCCTGTCATATCCATCACTGGGCGAACAAGAAAGGCTTTGATTTTACTGGATGCAGAAAATGGGTTGTTGGTCACCTTGGTAGACACATACATTTTGTCAAATACCTACCCATCATAGACCAGGACAGGGGAAACCACAGTTAGTCTCTTTAACTTTGTGAAGAATCAGTTATTGCAGAGGACTTCTTTACAAATGTAGAATTACAACAGTCCTCACTTACCCAGGGTTTTGCTTTTCACTGTTTCAGTTACTAGTGGTCAACTGCCACTCAAAAATACTAACTGGAAAATTGTACAAATTATTCATAAGTTTTAAATTGCACACCATTCTGAGATCTTGTACCATCTGGCACTTTCCAGCCAAGGATATGAATCACCTCTTTGTCCAATGTATCCATGATGTGTATACTACCTGCCCGTTAGTTACTGGGTTATCTGGTTGACTGTCATCATACCACAGTGTTTGTATACAATTAACCCTATTTATGTAATCATGACCCTAAAGCACAAGAGTAGTGATATTGGTGATTTTATTACAGTAAATCATTATACTTGTTCTATTTTATTATTGTTATTAATCTCTCCTGCACCTAATTTAGAAATTAAACTTGATAATGGGTATGTATGTGTAGGGAAAGACAGTATACACAGGGTTCTAT